TGCCGAGTTCACGAAGTGAATTGGCTTGTTTTACAACGTCTTTGCCAAGCGACGAAAACCCAATCCCGATGGCAAACACCGGGGGCGGCTTGTTTTACAACGTCGTTGCCAAGCGACGAAAACCCAACCCCGATGGCAAACACCGGGGGGGACTTGCGGGGGTGGGGGGAGACTTTTACCTTCGGGCGAAACTCGTGGTGCTTGTGCCTTCGCCAAGTCACGCTTGTAGTTTGGTACCGAGAGGCCAACTATTTACATGAAATTGCTGGGTTACCCGACGTACGTTACGGCGGCAAGCAGTGTTAAATAGTAGGTACTTCTGCAGCTGCATGTTCCTGGGTTGGCGTAGGTCTCTCTCTCTTTCTTTCCCTTTTTCTTGAGAGGGCAGCCCACGCAGTCTTCTGCTCTGGTTCCCTACTACTTGTACATGATACCACAGCTTCGAATTTCCTTCACGCGCCTCGACAGCATGTCGTTGTCGAGTGTTGCGACGGAACTCTATTGCTGTTTCAGTAGCTCCGTAGCAGCATGTAATTGTAATGGGTCTCTCTTCTTGCCCTTTCTTCTTGAGAGGGTAGCCCACCAGCTCTGGTGACGCTTCACGTTCGCTGCTACGTTGCCGGGCGTGTTCATTCGTGCCCTTTTGTGTTCCAGCTAAAGCCCGCGATTAAGAAACAAACCTTCCAGAAAAGAGAAAGGTAGGCTCAGATTTTGGCGATAGGCAAGGCAAATCGAACAAGAAACACACCTCAGCCAGCCGTGGATCCTACCCTAACTCTCCATATATAGCCTTTTGCTCGACGGTGGTTGTCGAAGTACGAAAATTGAGCCTTGACCCCATATTAACGCTTCTTACATAAACGCGGGTGCTAACTATATCGTATAGGGACTACCGCTTTAAGGCAGAAGCGGCGGCGTCGGGGGTGTGTCCGTCAGGCACGGAGCAATCTCCCGGCGAACACACGACGCAGCTGCTGCACCTGGGCGCGAAGCAGGGCAAGCACCACCCGTTGCTCCTCGAGCTGCGGCGCAACACCGCCCCCCCGGAGTTCCCGGGAGCGAGGCGGTATCTGGACATCACCACTCCGACGTCCAGGCGGAGAGAGAGGGGATCGACCAGCGGCGGCTCTGGTAGGGGGCCGGGATGGTTGATGCATAGCGCGTCGGCGTAGTATGCATAGCTCAGCTCTGTCGTTTAGTTACCGTCGATGGCACGGAGGATTGCGGTGCCGAAACACTCCTCTGCAGGAGCGCCACGGCGGGTTGCAACGCGGTCGTTCGCAGGGCAGGCAGAGATCCCCCGACACCGTTGCGTGTTGATGGTGTTTGAGGGGGCACAGAGCCACCACCACGTCGTCACGGATTGCTCTTCTTCCCGATTGTAGTATACAACGTGTGGTAACATATATCCCTACTGTCTTTATTGACACGTGGCAGCAAGAGAGGGAGAGGCGGAGGTGCTTTGCGTATGTATATATGGCAATTTGTCGGTGGTATAGTTTAGGGGAGGCACTCGTTACTATTGTTGTGGAAATCGTGCTCTTTCGATGAACGGCGGCCCGCGGTGCGGAGACGTGTTGTATGGAGGCGGCGTCGTTATGGAATTTATTTCGCGTCTTCTGGCAACAGCCGTGGCCCCACAGAGTATGGAACGGAATCACTCATTCATTGTAATTGCACGTGTTGTGTATACTGGCGTGTTCCACGGTTTATTCCCGGATTTCCTTGTTATGTCGCGGTCGCCGGTGACGGGATCGATCGTCGTCAGCGGCGTTAGAGGTAGGTACTGCTGTGCTTGCTGGGAATTGGGCCATTTGGCCACCGATCATGGGTGAGGGTATTGTCTATTGCTTGTTGCGTAGTTCGCAGCAAACATAGCGAGTGCTTGATACGTTCAGCAGTTGTACGGGCCACACCACTTTATACATACGTCGAGTGGTACTAAGTTATTTAGTGCGCCATTAAGAAGGCAAAAAAAAAGACAAAATGAAGACCATGAATATGACCACTACATACAGCAGTTGTCGTGGAATCGTATGGGCACCCCGCTGTGCGCAAGCTAGAAGAGGGTTCTCTCCTCTTGCGTATCACGCCCCCCCGAGCCAGCCATGATCAATCACGAAACGGGTACAGGCGTGAGAAATTCCGTACGTACATAAAGCACTCCATTCGAAGCGAGTTTGCGGAGCGGTGCTTAGCCCTTTGACGAGAAAATAAAGTTCTAGGAAGCTTCTAGGTAGACAAAGGGGTTCAGAATGGGAACCTTTTGTGAGAACCTGGAACCTGGCCAGGACTGCAGAGCCGAGCTGGCTGGCAGAGCTGGCGAACTGGCTGCAGATGACAAGATTACAGGAGGAGTGGAGTCTCTCGCTTCTCCGCTCCTCTGCGCATGGTCTTTTTCTCTCTGCGCTCTCCGGTTCTTCTCCGTAATATCCCTCTTCGTAGTGTGCGTTGCCTCATTCCCACTTACAGAGCGGAAAACAGCAGTTGTACGGAGGTACGTCTACATTTGTTCACACAACAGCACCAGCAGCCAGCAGTACCCATCCTGATCCATCGAGTCAGCCCATCACACAAGGCTCTCGCCTCGATTTGTACCGAGCGTCGACCGTCGGATCGGCGCCAAAGAGGTCGTGATCGGCCTTCTTGCCCGTGACAAAGGACGGAGAGAGATAGAAAAAGAGAGAGAGAGAAACACTGGCTTTGTACCGCGTATGGCTGTGTAGGTTGCATCAGATACCACACCCCCTGGCCCGATTGGAAGCTCGATTACCGGCAGGAAAAGCATTGAAGGTGCCGAACATGAGCCGAACATGGCCGCGTTTGAACTAGCTCGTTGGAACCGTCTCATGAAGAGCTTTCCGAAACCGTATCATTTGAATTCTGCTTCCTCTTCGACGTGGAGCAATCGAGCCTTGGAAATCGGTTCAGAGGGGGTGTATCTGATGCAACCTCAGTCTCGGTCAGCCTTAATCGGGTGGCGGTGATCAAGGCTGGTAACAAATACATGTGCTCACGGAATGACTGCAGGCATTGAGTAAACGTACACGGAATTCAGCGCTGTAAGTTGGGCTATCATGCCCTGAGATATGCAGAGAAACCGGCCTACTCCTGCGAGTTATCGATGCGCCTTCGTTTATTGTGTTGCTAAATGTTTCGCGAAAGTATATATTTTTAAGTGCCCAATCCCACGAACATCTTCATCACTTTGTGCTTCATTTTGAACGAATAAAGTTCTGACACTCTGTGCGATGTGCCAAATTTGCCGCTTTTATCTTGCAGCCACTGGTGTCACGGGCTCGCCACTACCAGCTCGTTGCCCACCTGTAGAGGTCGTGTTGGAAGTGGAGAGATCATCTACACCGATGCCGAAAGCAGATCCCCTGTTTTCGGCAGGGGAATTTAGAGAAGCATTGACCACAGTGCCACCAGGAACTTTCAACGAGAGCACTACCCGAGCCATGCACACACGCGCTGATCAGGCGGCTAAGGAAGGCGTCCCGGTGCTTGTCGGCCTCGGGAGCACAAGGTGCTTTGGGATTAAGGACGGCCATGAAAACAACCGCACAGTGATTGGAGAGTGGGCGCACGTGAAGTACGATGACAAGGGCGGGAGCAAGATGTTTCAGTGCAAGGTGTGGGCGAAAGGTTGAGGTTCGACTTGCGGTGGTTGAATGTCGGCATGATCGAGGTGCTTCTTTGGCTTTGTAAGTGTGCCCACGAGTGGTGACTTGTTGAAACCGTGGCCGCGGAAATTGTAGACATGAGGACTCCCGCAGCCGTAGATGAGAAAAATTTCCTATGAATAGGTTGAGGTGTTGCACTCACGGACGCCCACACAACAAATCTCTTCTGCCAGAGTGCAGGGAGTGTACCTACGTGTCTTGTGTGTTGTCATTGTTGAGCAGGCTGTCGGTATGCAGGCGGCGGTATTCATGGTATTTCAGATCGCCCTTGCGGATATGGACGTTTGGACACCGTTGGTTTTGGAGACAAGACCACTACCGAGAACGTCCCCGCGCGCACCCCAACGCCCGGCTCAATCACTTATGTTGCTTTGCGTCGCCCCTTTTTTTGTCCTTGCCGGCGCCTGATAAAGGCGAACAACGGTAATCCGTGGTGACAGTAAGTCGAGGAGAAACACGGGCCGCTGTGTTCACGCCGCCATTGTTGCTGTATACATTTATCACCGAGACAAGATTGGCCTTGGAGGGGGTATAGACCTGGAGCTCGATGGCGATATGGACGGAATGGAGTTCGGGCAAGAGGTGTGTGCGGGGGGGGATGAACACAGCACCGGTAACGACCTGGGGTTCGCGTCGTCCACCCAGCGTACCGATCCTATCCGTTTCAAACAGCAGATGGCCCAACTCACAATGATTTGTTCTGTGTACAAGTTTCCTGTCGACGAGCCTGAGTTCAAGGAAGGAACGTACGGGCGCGACACCATTCACATCAACGGATGCATTTGCACAGGCTGCGGGAATCCGTACGAACAACTCTCCGACGCCGAAGCAATCCTTGTCGGCCAGGTGGGTAATCGGGTTGAGCAGTAGGACCTTGTCTTCCTCGACGCTGAGACGTACTTCTTTGCTGCCCATGTGGTAATTTTACTCCGGAAACCTACGGCATGAAATAAGGGCATGGAAACGAAGGGTAGGCTGGCCTACATTGTCCCATGTGTTTAGAGAGTGACTCTTCCCTTCACGTATCACGTCTAATTTCGTACGGCGGGCTTGGGCGTCGATGGGGTTGATCAAGTGAGCAGGGTTGGTCAAGTGGGCCAACAGCTACAACACCTACCGTGGTGTCTCATGTCTCATTTTTCCTGTGTCCGGGCGGTTGTACAGCAGCTACAACACCTAACGTACTTTCTCATTTTTCCTCTGTCTGGGTGGTTGCACAGCAGGCAGCGAGGAGAGCAGAACTGCGAGTGGTGAAGATCGAGCGAAAGGAATGCAGGGGGTGCAACCTACGAGGCTGGGCAGGCGACGACATCTACGAGGATGGGGTGTTTAATTCCAACAACAACGAACGCTGTAATTGAATTGCGCCTTCTCTACGAAATCCGTAGGGCTTTCACCAGCGGTACTCCGATATCGACCTGGATCAAAACCTTCCTGGCACCCCTAGTAGATAGCCTGGCCTGGGTGGACGCCTCGGATGCCAACAGCATTTTGGCTTCACGGTGAGTGGTACTCGGAGGCGGTTATGTCCTTGGTTCTTGTTGAATGATGGACAACAACAACGTTTTCTGAAGTATTTCTCTTATTATTCACCATGGTGATGCATGACTAAGACAGAGTCACACAAAAAAAGGAGAGCAACGCGTGTAAATCTGTGTGTCCAGTTATCGCTATTTGAGTGGTGAGTACAAAATTCAGATGCCTTACCGATGCTGGCAAGGGTTGCTGGCAAGGGTAGCGCAAGCCGAATACGCCCATTCTGGCACATTTCTTATTTTGTTCTCGCAAGCGAATAGCTGGCCATGCTCTACTAGTCTATAGACGCGCGGACAAACCGTCAAATCGGCCCTCCGGTCCTGCGGGGGCGTGCATGCGTGTCGTGTTGCTTCATGAGTGTTGATTGCTTTTCAGCGTGCAGATTTTTATATTGAAATGTTTTCGGCCGACGTACCCAAGCCCAAAACTCCATTTGAAGGCTGGCCGGTACCCGTTCGGACGAAACCAAGTTTGCACGTGCTCTCCAGATACATGTCTACAAACACAATCACAAAAACAGGACCTCGATGAAGCTGTTGACAAAAAAAACACGATATGGTGGAAACAATATTCGAAAAATGGCCCGTGAGCCCTTAACCAGCCGCTGCAGTAGGCGTAAAACGACCACCCCACCCGGCATTTTGTATTTTTTCCGAACCACTGACACGGGGACGATGGCCTAGGTCATGGTCGACCACGAGAATAAACTGAACGCGGATCGATCATTTCTTGGTCCAAATATCGCCATTTCAGTGGTGTGGACGAAACTGAGGGACGGTACCCTTGCGGTCGAGGGCAGCACAAGCCAAATACTCACTTTCTTGGGCATTTTTTTATTTTTTCTCCCAAACGAACAGCTGGCCATGCTCTGTGAGTCTATAGACGCGCAGGAACACCGTCAAATCGGCCCTCCGGTCGTCCTGGAGTGTTCGGACCGTGTTGCTGCAAAATGGATTGTCCGTTTGCAACATGTGTTCAATTCTCCCAGTGGATGAACGCCGTCTCGGCGATTTCGGCTTTGTGAGCTGTGATTACGAGACAAGATACTGGCGCTGGTCCTGACACAGAGTTCGCTGCTGTTGTCACGTATCACGATGCGCTAGACCAACGTCAAGTATGGGTTTGCGCACATGCAAATGTCGATTGATTTTGTGTTTTTTTGTCTACCCGAGACGCAATGTTTGCCCGAAGAGACGCGCGCCTTCAACAATCACGGTCCTCAATTTTGATTAGATGGTCGCGTTAGAGTATCCCGTACGCTAACAACACTTCATTGGGCGCATCATGATACGTGCTAACACGTGCCAACAGCGGCGAACTCTGTGTCAGGACCAGCGCCAGTATCTTGTCTCGTAATCACAGCTCGCAAAGCCGAAATCGCCGAGACGGCGTTCATCCACTGGGAGAATTGAACACATGTTGCAAACGGACAATCCATTTTGCAGCAACACGGTCCGAACACTCCAGGACGACCGGAGGGCCGATTTGACGGTGTTCCTGCGCGTCTATAGACTCACAGAGCATGGCCAGCTGTTCGTTTGGGAGAAAAAATAAAAAAATGCCCAAGAAAGTGAGTATTTGGCTTGTGCTGCCCTCGACCGCAAGGGTACCGTCCCTCAGTTTCGTCCACACCACTGAAATGGCGATATTTGGACCAAGAAATGATCGATCCGCGTTCAGTTTATTCTCGTGGTCGACCATGACCTAGGCCATCGTCCCCGTGTCAGTGTTTTGGAAAAAATACAAAAATGCAGGGTTGGGTGGTCGTTTTACACCTGCTGCAGCGGCTGGTTAAGGGCCAACGAGCCATTTTTCGAATGTTTTTTCAACCAAATCGTGTTTCTTTTGTCAACAGCTTCATCGAGGTCCTGCTTGTCGTGATTGCGTTTGTAGTAATGTATCTGGAGAGCACGTGCAAAATTGGTTTCGGCCGAACGGGTACGTTCCGGCCAGCCTTCAAACGGAGTTTTGGGCTTGGGTACGTCGGCCAAAAAATTGGAAGAAAAATATTATCACCCAAGAACAATCGATGACCATGAGGCAACGCGACACGTATGCGGCCCCACATGACCGGACGGCCGAGTTGACGGTGTTCCTGCGCGTCTATAGACACGCAGAGCATGGTCAGCTGTTCCTTTGGGAGAAAAAAAAAAAAAATGCCCAAGAAAGTGAGTATTTGGCTTGTGCTGCCCTCGACCGCAAGGGTGCCATCCCTCAATTTCGTCCAAACCACTGAAACAGCGATATCTGGACCAAGAAATGATCAATCCGCGTTCAGTTTATTCTCGTGGTCGACTATGACCCCCTTGACCATCACCACGACAAATATATGAGAACAAAAGCGAACACATTTTCTGATCGTTTTACACCTGCTTGCAGCGACTGGTTAAAGGCTAAGGAACGTTTTTTTGAATGTTTTCCTCCACCAAATCTTGTTTTTTTTTTCACCAATTTGACGGAAAGTCTGTTTTTGTGTGGTGTGCTGGTACACATGTATCTGGAGAGCACGCGAACGATTGTTTCTTCCGAACAGGCTCGGGCTAGCCTCACAACATATGTGCTGGCCTTGGTGTGTCGGGCGGAAATCGATCAACAGGTTTTGGAAGATATATGGTAAAGAATCATGCAGCATACCGAGTCCAACATTCACCTGTTGATGGCCGGAAGGCCGATTTCCATGTATTCAATGCACGTCTTTTACCAAAGGCTAAGTGCCAGCTCCCCATCTTGTACGACACCGGATAGCATCGGGAAGAAAGTTGGGTTTGGGCACGTTTCTTGGTCAACCCTTGAACGGGGTTCAGGTTTTTGGCTACAACCGTCTACCTCAAATTCGTGTTCTGTTTGACGTGTGACGCACAAAATCTCCTCCCAGTTTATCCGTCGCTATCTTTGCCAATCCATTCGCTCTTGCCGCGCCTACCGTGTGTACCCTCTTCTCGCAGCATCGAGGACCACAACTTTCGCGCGCTGATCAAGCAAGCATACTTTGCTTTCGAAGCCCTAGTACAGCACCCGTTTGGGTTCGTGAGCTTCATGCACGGACGCTGGCCAGAGATATTCTGTATCGATGGTTGCGCGAAGATTTGTACGGACGACGTTTCGAGGGAACAGTTTGACTTTGCTCGGGCGGAGAGAGATGTGGACGCAGACCTCCACAATGAGATGCTGAAGATGTCCATGATTTCCAAGATGGTTTTCAACGCGCGCCTTCGCTGGGTGCTGGAGGCGGCTCCAATCCTCGGACCGCACAACCGCGTTTCAAACGTGATGCATCGAACAGCACGAGGAAGGATGGCGCCGGTAGGATCTCCCGAGAACGGGGATGCGGGGGAGCTAATGCGCGCGCTCGGCGACGGCGCCATTACCGACCTCTCCGACAAGTCCGTTAGTGACCTCAAGAACATCTAGACTACAGGCTCTGCTTCCCCGATGGAAAGGGAATCAGTATGTGAGTTCTGGAGGAGCAATCGCACACGCCCTCGTTTGCGACGTATGCTCGTGTTTACGGGTGCGAGCTTCGTACGTAAAAAGTTCTCTCCCTCACACATGTTCTCGGACCTACACCTTCACTGTCGAAAACGCACCCTTAACTAGGTATCCAACGAAGGAGCTTCTTGTCCAGTGCCTCCAAAAGCTCTGGGAGCCTGCTGGCGCGGATGGCGAAGGCGAACGATGCTCGAAGCTATTTATCGACAAACCGTCGGGGTCAACGGCAGGAGTAGAAGGTCTCTTCACGGGTGATGGAGTGATGGTTGCGCACGTCTTCCAGATCACGGCTGAGAGCCCAGCCGACGCTGTGGACATGTTGGTGGACCTCCTGGTGAGCTATTATGCTCTTTTAGCCAAGACCACAAATGCCATGAACCGAGGCGAAATACCGAGTGAGCATGCCGTGTTCAAGTTGCACAGTGCGATGCCATGTGTAGACGAAATGTGTGGTAAACAGCGTAGTAGCCCCCCATGCAACTTCCACGGGGGGGAACGGTTGCAGCGATGTGTTTTTTGGGTTGAGTATTGTTCGAATGCCTAAGTTGGTCTCCGCATTTTTCCTTTGGCTGGTTTTTTGTCATTTGCTGTCACAGCACCTTGTTGATCAATGAGCACACCCGTCGCGGGTGAATACTTAGGTGAGATCGTAGGAAGAATGTTTTTATTCGAATATTGCATCACTTCCGCCGTACATGGGGTTTATGTGGTGTTGAATATTCAAGTTGCGTTCGTGGGGCTCGTGGGGTGAGGTGTTTGCCACGCGCCTACGTTTTCTACATTTTCCCCTGTCGTAAGCCCGTCCCTCGAGGCCTTGGAGCACGTGTTAGGCACTCGTGAAGAAATGTGTGGTATGTTCGTGCATGACGTTTCCTTTCATGCTGCATGCTGTTCCTGTGTTTCCTATCGTCACTACCAAGGTACAACCATGCCTGGTGATCACGGATACACCATGCATGCTTGCACCGATCGCGGACAAGAATCATCCTGATCTGCTGGATGAAGGGGGCGCCCTGCCACGTAACGCCGAAGGTCAAGTTTCCCTGAAAGGACTGCAGCACATCGGAGCCCGTGCACGCGACTTTCCGGATCTGCACTCTGTGAAGGTGCCGCCGGGGGGATTCCCATCTGCGACCGCATCGTCTGCATTGGGGGCCCAACCCGTTCACAACGTGTACGCGGTCTATGCCGCCGCGGAGCCTTCACCCGGCGTTCAAGCGCAGCTCGACTTCCGCACTCTACTTGGGCACCATTCTGATATGGTTGAGAAGGATCGTCAACTTCGAGCTGCACCTGACGCTGAGGGCGATGTGATAGGGGCAAGCGACTGTCGTCTTCCCCCAAGCGCATCAGCGAGCTTGCGGAGAACACGCTCACCTCTCTACACAATCAAGGATGGTACGCTATCGACCTCTTCGAGGTTGTACTCGTGTTCTCGCTATGGTTTCAGGCAGCTGGGCGAGAGGCAGCTGGGCGAGAGGCAGCTGGGCGAGAGGCAGCTGGGCGAGAGTCTGCTGCGGGTGAGGCACAGGGGGTGGGAGGGGAGCGGGGGGGTGGGGCAGACGAGACTCCACCAGAGCGCGAGATAGCCGACTTGTCAACCAAGGAGCTTCTCGATATCTCCGGTCACCTCATAGAAACTCTGAGGGTAGCAATTGGATCAACGGACGCCGCTGGCTTGACAATGATGTGCATGCCTGAGTTTCTTGGAGACGATGTGCTGTATGTACTACAGTCAATCAATGGAAGGAGCTACAGGCGGAGCGGTAGATGGCATAGAGGAAGGTGTCGGCGAGGCTGCTCCGGTTTTGAGAAAATTGGAGGACGCCGTCAACCTTTACCACCAGGTGAGACGTTGATTACGACGGAGATGAACTCCACTGAAGGGAAATAGCCTTATCTCGAACACTGAAACTACATTACTTGGCGNTGTACTACAGTCAATCAATGGAAGGAGCTACAGGCGGAGCGGTAGATGGCATAGAGGAAGGTGTCGGCGAGGCTGCTCCGGTTTTGAGAAAATTGGAGGACGCCGTCAACCTTTACCACCAGGTGAGACGTTGATTACGACGGAGATGAACTCCACTGAAGGGAAATAGCCTTATCTCGAACACTGAAACTACATTACTTGGCGCGAAATAAGGATATTTATATCTCGACCTTGGTGCTCACTGTCCTTGCACTCTGTTCGGGCGCCCTTTTGTGTTTTTTTCGATCTCACCTGTGCAGAAGGTTACGTTCATCACCGACTCGCTCGACGCCGTGGACAACTGCTCATCCGAACGCGCATGAGAGAGAACGTATCACTGTCAACGAAGTTTTTGTTTCTTTCGGTTCGTTGTAATGTGCTAGCGGCACCAAGTTCCTCGTGTGTAGGAATGGCGCTTTTCTGTCCCGCCTTCTAAATAAGATACGTTTTTTTTTTTGGCGGTAACCATACTGGTGGTCGAGTAGATCATGTTGTGCGGGGTACCACCCCCGGGAAAGTCAGCCCACAACCTTACGTTGCTCTGTGAATGCATACACATGGCTCCGTGAACACTCGCCAAACTCTTCTTATTTCCTTATTCCCCCGTGTTCCGGTGTGTTCCCCAATACCATTAAAACAGACCGTTTAGTCCAGGCAGGGGTCGGTTTTGGTTTTGCCGAACACTCCGTCACAGCGTTGCAGATGGCGCTTTCTAGCGACTCTCTGGGGGGGCAGTTGGACAAGAATGGAAAGCTACCTGGCTACGGGGTCTCCTTCAACTTGAAGCGGGAACGTTCGTTTGGTGAATTCGGGCACTTCTACGACGGCCAGAGAGTAGGTCTTTGGCTAGGCCCAGACGGGCCGCTCGAGGGCAACCACCAAGGGCCCTGCCAAATGAAGTATGGCGGAGTGTCCCGGTGCCCGCAGCTCACGGGCGTCAACTGCAACGTTCACGAACAAAACCACGAGAAGAAGACCAAGCACCTACCCAGCGTCAGCGGCATGGGGTTCGACACATTCACTTTTAACATCACCTTGATCAACGAGTTGGAAAATGTAAAAATCAACCGCAAGACATGCAGCGTGGCAGTCTCAAGTGCCATCGAACACCCCCACGAACGTCTGTATGCCTGCCGTCAGGAAGTGTGGACTTGCGGTCGCTGCTTCTGCAGCGAGCCTTATGAGGTCGTTCGACCAGTCCGGTAAATTGCGCATCACGCACATGTAGCGGGTTGTGGGTAGAACGGTGTGGTAGCATCAGTAGTCCATGGGGATGCCGATTGTTGCTTCCTGTCCATTAAGTCGTTTGGTGTTGTGTACTCTCATGTGTTTTGCGATAGACGAATCCCGTTAGCACTTCAAGAATGTAGGTCGTAAAATATGAGAGGGGGTGTTGCAAGATCCCTGGGGAAGTGTACATCACAGGGCGCGGTCTCACCGGCGGGGTATGATTGCGTTGAATCATGGAATGGTTAGTGTCACCTTGTACCCAGACCTCATTCAAATGGTGTATGGTGTATTCGCTCCATTGCTGCCTAGGGTGGCGCCAACAAGAGTAGCGGTAGCGTGCGAAAGGTACTAGTGCGAAATGTGTTGTAATTTGCCAGATACTCGTATTCCTAGTGGTACATAGATGGACATAACACTCCCGTCTCTCTTTTGCAGTTTCTTTCTTTTTACCCTCTTATTGAATTTCAAAGGCCTTGTGCGCTAGTCAATACCCAACAGGGAAGGGGGGTGGGGACTCCACGGGGGCACCTGTTTTCGACTCTACGTGGGGGATTTTCCAAGGGTGAGAAGACATCAAGACTAGGTTCAGTAGTCTAANTTGCTGCCTAGGGTGGCGCCAACAAGAGTAGCGGTAGCGTGCGAAAGGTACTAGTGCGAAATGTGTTGTAATTTGCCAGATACTCGTATTCCTAGTGGTACATAGATGGACATAACACTCCCGTCTCTCTTTTGCAGTTTCTTTCTTTTTACCCTCTTATTGAATTTCAAAGGCCTTGTGCGCTAGTCAATACCCAACAGGGAAGGGGGGTGGGGACTCCACGGGGGCACCTGTTTTCGACTCTACGTGGGGGATTTTCCAAGGGTGAGAAGACATCAAGACTAGGTTCAGTAGTCTAAACAACGAGCGCGCTCGACAAGCCGTTTTCCCTCCACTCACTTAAAATACTTCAGCACATCCGTTTCGACTCTGGTTGTATATCGAAAGGGTGGTCTTTCTGTGTGATTACTGTAGATATCTTCAGTAAAAATTTTGTTTCAAAATATATTTTCACTGGTGATGCTCGGACCATCTTGTACTCAAATACCACCATTAACAGCGGCGTTTTTGTGGCACGTTCAGACGTTTCGGGCATGGTTCTCTCTCTCGCCTCCTCTCTCTACCTCTCTCCACCGCTCTCTCTCACTATCGTATGCTACAGTGTACACTAGGTGCACACCGAGTATGTCGTACCCGTCCCCGAGGTTGGAGTGGCACTGAGAGTTGTTGCGGCGGTGACGACTGGAGGTGACCGCGCCGGAAACTCGAAAACGCTCGTGCGCACATGGCGGGTCTTCGCTTGCGTCGATCTATCCAACACCGGGACGGGGCCTGTCCTGACCCTTGTCCGCCTTGTAGGCGGTGACGGAAACGCGACAGAATGGGGATTGTGGGTTAGCATGAGTTGGATGGGCACCAACTGTGGGCACTATCCGTAGATCACGCTCGGCAGGATACCGATATGTCCCATGCTTCTTCCGGGGCTGGAACTACTGCATGGGTCTTCAGGAAAAAATCTCCAGGAAAAGGTTGACGGCAAATGGTAAAAACAACACTTCATGCTCCCATCACTTTCCGAAGCACACCCCATAACTCATCCATTTATTTCCTCCATGCCGACGCGACTCATTACGCGAAAGCCGAGGTGGACTTGAGGAACGGTTGTTTTACGTTGTGCAAGCCAAACTGCCTCTTATCTTTGGCTCTCTCTGGATCTTATCATATTTTCTGCAAGAGCTCAACGACATCTGCCTTTACTCGTGTCACCGACATGTTTCGTGAACGGTGTGACACGACCTTGTAACATAACACAACGCATCCTCACTTTTTGCACGGGCACCACAGGTTTCCATAATGTAGGAATCACTGAAATCCATCACGTCCAGACAGACTGTTCCGTCCATCGTTCCAAGCAGTTTTCGCACAGCCAATAGCAGCATGCCGAATCTCCGCAAGCATTTTTAATGCCTTGCCTGGGATATTTCGTCCTACATCCGTGGCATGTTATGACTTCTCCAGTCAGCTGGCCTTTTCGCCTCCCCCCCGTCGAAACGCTGGGCGACATGCTGGGGTCGGCAGCCCAAGACTGTGTGTTGCTCTCGTGCTCCAGGGATGAGTTCAGGTCCTCATGTAGAGGTGATCCCGCCGCTCTCTTCTCACCCGCTCCTCCACTGGTGCCTATGGTCTGGGGTGCTGGGGCCGTGCCTATCGGAATAACTTGGGCATTGCAAGCGGCGAACGCGGTTGGTTCGCACCTGTGCGAGTGGCCATACCGGCTGCCGTCACAGTCGTCGGGGATACAAGCGCAATCGTTGTTCCGCACGTCCCCCTGGACAAAGAAGTCGGGGACATTGGCGCACCTCCTAGGTCTAACCTGCCTACGCCCGTGCGCGCACCCTGGCGGGGTGCGATGCTAGCTGCTGATACATTGGCCGGGGATGCCGGCGCACCTCCCATGACTGATCTCCCAGTTCCCGTGCGCAATCCCATCCCGTTCGAGCCGAACACCCCCGTACCAAGGCCGCCAGTACTAGCTGCTGCAGCTCCATCCCTCTTGGGCCCCCAGTCCGTCGGGGACTGCCATTGCATGGAGTCCCTGCCCCCCCTCCCCTCTTCCAGATGGCCTGAAGAGCTGCTAGCCGAGAACAAACGACCGCCAGGCTCCATGTCCCAGCATGATCGTGGACGAAGTCGCCAACGTACACCGAATTCTCCACGCTCCACTCCGCCCTGATCCTCTTGCTCCGAACCTTGTGCGCCCATTGCGCGCCCGCATGCGGCACCATGCAGCCCCCGTTTCCCAATGATGTTTGAGATGGACCCTAGGGACGCAATGCAGGAGAATGAACGGTGGGGACATGGGAAATCTCAAGCACGTGCCATCAGTTCGATGAACTCACTTGAGACCGTGGTGGTGAGCGAGGACCCAACGCGACGAAAGTAAGGGGCTCATCTCATGCCTTCGTGGAAACCTCCGTCAGGTGGCGGGGGGCTGAAACTACTGGCTCGAAAGTACAGCCTGCTGTGCACGAATAATAAGGCATATGCAGACATTCTCCCATGTGTGTTGACTTGTTCGAAAAAGCGTTTCTCACGGGGGAAGGATAGTCTAGACTGTCAAGTGTTCACCCTAAGATACATATCGAGAGTAGACATTGAGAACAGGGGCAACGGCCCAACGAGGAGAAACGTTTGCCCGCCTGCATATAGAGCTGCCTGTGTATGCCTCCTGCGGTGTACGTACCCTGGAGGTGCGCTGCAATATATGCTGAGCCGCCAACGCATACACGTGTGCATAGACTACAATACTCGAGACCAAGGAAAATCGATAGCACTACAATCGTCTCTGATGGATATGTATGCATATGGTGTCAGCTCCTCATATGTAGAAGATGTTGTTGGTCAAGAGCTCAAGCACAGGCAGCACACGGGCGAGGGTAGTAGAGAAGAGCTGCTATTGTAGACATGTGCTGAGCCTTCAACGTACATATGGCTACGGCAGCGAGCGAACCCTTTATAGATCCAAGCTGCTGTTGGAGAGCATGCGAAAATCACCCGCATGAGGTGTGTCTAGGGGTGGGTGGAGAGCTTCCGCATAGTAGATTCGCTGACTGACACACCACGAACGAACTCGTTAGGCTTACATCGTTTCGGAGATAGATGTTCCTCGGCTTGCTCCCGTAGAGCTCTTTCCTCTTCGTGGTCGGCCGCCCTCTGCATCGTCGCTCAAGTCTTGCGAGGCGGGAATGTGGTGCGCTCGGCATGCATACGTACTGCTCTTGTCGTCGTGGGGACCCTCGTTTCGCGGTGTTGTTGTTTGTTGTTGTTGTTTCTCACATTGTTGTTGTTGTTGTTGTTGACTTCACATTAAACCGTATGCCAGTTGCTAAATGCCAAAATCTAGCAAAGACNTATAATCTATGGCGGGTTCCGAGCTAAAGACGAATCACCTTTCCCACCTCGGAGAAGAAAAAAAAAAAA